TTGGAGTACCCACGAGCAAAATGGTCTGTGCTTATTTTTTTTCCTTTGCTCCTATTTTAAAATTTTGTTTTCACATTTTCTGTCTCAGCTACCTGTCTGTGTGTCTTAGCATCATTGCACAAAAAAGCCTTCTACAGCTGAACAACTGCGACATATAGGGAAAATGTTGGGTATCTTTAGACATTCCAATATCCTTTTAAATCAGCATTTCCACTGCTCAGAAGTTTGCATTCACATTCAAGTATAGGCTATGATTAAGTTCATAAGAGAATCCACAATGAAAGAGAAAACAATTCCTTTTTCTAAAGAAACCAGGTAATTGCGCTAAAATATAGCCACAAAATGAAATGTCATATAACTGTTCAAAAAGAATACGACTGAACTAGTTGGGTGAATTCAACATATTATGTATAACACGGGATACCATATACATGGATATTTTAAGTAAGAGTGGGCAAGGTTCAGAGCCAGGCATAAACCAGAACGTCTGTGAGTAAAGCAAAAGGATAATTTATATATGCCATCAATGTCATATATATACTTTGTAATCTGAGTCATTTTCTTTTTGTATGGAAATAGAAGGTACAGCTCATCTTTTGAGGAAGGAAAAAGTTATATACAGTTTAATTATGAAAACTTTTTTTTTTAAGATTTATTTATGCTTGCGGAACTGGGGTGCAGGCCAGAGGTGGGGGGGTGAGAGAATTCACCAGAGACAGAGTGGGGAGCAGGTAGATGGACTTAAGTACACTGCTGAGGGGCAGTGGGAAGACAGGAGAGGTCTGCTGCTGCGCCCTGTGGGTCACTCCCTGGCCGGGAATGGAACTTGCGCTGCGGTGACTTTGGAGTGCTTCATAGTGCTGCGCTTTAACCCGTTGTGCCACCAGAGGGAGCCCCTAATTATGAATACTTCTTTTTTTTTTTTTTAAAGATTTATTTATTCATACAGAACTGGGGTACAGGCCAGAGATGCGGAAGGTGAGAGGATTCACCAGGGTCAGAGTGGGGAGCAGAACAGGCAGATGGACAAGGTCCACTGCTGAGGGGAGCAGCGGGCGGGTCAGGAGAGGTCTGCCACGCCATGTGGGTCACCTCTGGGGCAGGCGGGGATCGAACTCATGCTGAAGTGGCTTTAGCTTCTCAGTGCTGTGCTGTAACCCGCTGCGCCACCAGGGAGGGCCTAATTATGAAGACTTTTTAATAGTATAAACAAGTTTATACTATTTATGGACATGCATTTATTTACAAAATACCTATAGCAGTTATCTGGTAGACGATTACAGGCCCTTTAAACAATTTTATACTATTTATGTTAAAATCCCTATGCATTCGGGTATTTTCAAACTGCAAGCTTCCCTTGGGAACTAACTCACACTGCCCAAACCATGCTTTACCCCTGCATTAATCTAGTTTTCAATATTGCTCCTTTCCGTTCTCCCATTCATTGAATCCTCCCTGGAATTGAATTGGCCCTGGATGTTGTGAAAAGGTGAGGCCCTTTCTAAAAGAATTCATTAGTAGTAAGAAACTGCTGGTAGCAACAGCAGACCTCCGGGCCTTGCCCCCGGCGGGGGCAGCGCTGTGAGGACTTGGTACAGCCTGCGAGGTCCCCAAATGGTAAAGAGAAGTATGCTTGCGCTAATGAATCAGTGCTTTCAGGGGGTTAAAGAGATGAAAAAAAAAAAATGGCATTAAGTCACAGATAATGCAAGGGGAGGTGCAGCCGTCCCTCGGGAGAGCGGAGGAGACCGGCTCTGGCTCTCAGCTCTGGGCCCCAGGGCGCGGCGGCTGCTCGTGCACTTCACGCCTGGAACACGGATGGGGCGTGGCCCATCCTCTCCCCTCCCCTGGGCTCTGGTGCTCCCGGGCCTGCTGAGCTGGGAGCTTCCCCAGATCTCACGCTTCATCTTGGTGCCCATTCACGAAGGAGTGAAAGTTTCCCAAGTGCGGAGGACTCCAGAGACAAAGAACGGCAAGTATGACGGCGGATTCTTCCTGCCCGAGAAGGATCTGACCTGATTCCTCCTTGTTTGGATTTTTACACTGTGACGTTATTGGGCGGGACAATTGGGAATTATTTATGAGCCAGAATAACATGGTTCGCCATTTGAATCAATATTATTGAACCAAGTTGGTCCTGATGAATTTAAGGGCTCTTTTTGTCTAAAATGGAAATTGCTTTTTACTGATAATAATGGTGGTCATTAAAAAGCATTTATACCAGAAAATGTTAAGAATCAAAACAACCTATCATCACGGTCACTATAAGCCATCTTGCATCTATGGGTACATAGGAAAATGTAACCACGTGTGCATCTTTAGATATTGGTTTCCACTTAACTTTCTTCCTTTGACGGCAGTGTGAACTGTCTTCCATGGAGCACATTTACATTTATCATGACATCGCCTGGAGTTATGCTTCTAGAAAGATGCTGAGCATTTTATCCCATCATTACACTGTCTCCTAGAGTCTCATGATTTTGTATTCTTTATCTGCTCATTTTTTGCTATCCCTTCTGCATTCTAAAACTCTTTTTTTTGAACTCCTACCCTCTTACTACTCTTTTTAAAGAAGATTATTTATGCATACAGGCCAGAGATGCAGGAGTGGTAAGAGGATTCACCAGACACAGAGTGGGGAGCAGAACAGGCAGATAGATGAAGCACACTGCTGAGGGGAGCAGCGGGCGGGTCAGGAGAGGTCTGTGGCGCCCTGTGGGTCAACTCCGGGCCTGGGGATCGAGTTCGTAGTGCTGTGATTTAACCCACTGTGCCACCATGGAGGGCCCCTCTAACCACTTTAAACATAGAATAGCTTGGGAAATAAGAACAATAGACACCCAATAGGGGCTCTCTGAGTCAGGTGAGGAAGTATCAGGCAGCAATGCCTCGTGCACAGGCCTGGGAAAAAGCCAAGTCCTCATCCCACTCCCCATTCAGTGATTTGCCTGGTGGTTCCACCATCACCACCAGTGAAATCCTGCTTCAAACCAGTGGTGACAAATATCTCCTGACAGTGCATCCATCCCGCATGGCTTAAATGACTGCCAGGAATCTGTGCTATCAGGAAAGAAAATTATGAACACATCAAGTGGTGAATTTCATTCAACATCCCGTTTGGGAAATATTTTATAAGTAGAGCTGTTTTAAAAGTAAAAGATTAAGCTGGTCACCATTAAGAGATAGACAGAAGACTTGAGAATATCAGATACAAAGGATGTGAAGTTGTAAACTATTCCAAGAGGGTTTATCAGGGGCCGATAGAGACCTCAGCTCTGTGCAAGATGCTTAGACAGGCAATAAAAAACCCCACAGAATCAATGCAAAGATATTTAACTGGGATATGGCCATGAAGATGGGATTTAAGATCCACTGTAAGCAATGGACCCTCTCATGTGGAGTCTCCTCGTTACTTGGGCTGACCATGAGGTCTGTGTGAGTTAATAACTCTTTGCTTTGTTCTCTGCTCTCACTGCAGTTCCCAGCCCACGGCAGTGCCAGGCTTTGGAATCTGTGAGGCCACCTGTTTGCCACCTGTATGACTGCAAGTGTGTTATCCACACTGCATTTTCAAATCATCTAACATTTGCCTCTTTTTCTGCAGCGGGGATTTAAGCCATGATTTCGGTAAACACTGCCTGGCCCATAAAAAGCAACTCAGAAAGCGTCACATTTGCATGATTTATCATCACAGACTGACTCCTGTTTCCTGGTGCCCAGGGAGCAGTGTCCACGCCAGATGTTCACAGCAGACCACAGACCAGCTTTCTCAAGAGCAGGAGGGAAAACGGTCACTAGAAACTCTTGGCATCACACATGTGCCTTTACTTTGGTGAATCAGCTTTAAAGGTTTAAATTTATCTTCTTCTCTTTTAGTAACTTGGATTCTTGACAACTTGAGGAAGGGAAAGAAGATCTGTCTCTAAACTTTAAGTGAGAAGATGGAAAGGACAGCTCACTGGTCTTCACTGTAGTCTCATCAGAAAGGAGTTAACGGACAATTAACGAATGCCTACTGCGTGCCAAGTGATTTGTATAAATCATCTCACTTAATCCTCTTAGCAGCCCTTTGAAAGACAAGGCAGATCACCATCTTAGAGACAGGGAGTGAATTACACAGAGGACAGGGGGCTTGCTTAAAGTCAAGGAGACAAGTTGGGGCTGCAGCTCAGCACCCGGCAAGGCTTCTCACAGCAGACTGCTTCCTGCTAGACCCAGTCCTGACTGATGATGCATGACTTAGCAGAAAATGCACTCTGCTCCTGGGAATGAGCAATGACTTGGACTAAAAGGGGTTCTTGGGTGGCAAGCCCGCACGTGGGTATAATTTCTGCAATCTTCCTGTCAAACTGTGAGATGGTTTTTCTTTGACCACGTAATCAGCATATCCCTAGCTGTTTAAAGAAATTGCCTTAACTAGTTGCCGTCCATCGTGTTACTTTGAAGACACAGCGCCCAGAATAGAGCCCAAACACACCTTTTTTTTCAAGCCAGTTTTCCTTTATGCCTGCCAACATCTTTCTACCCATCCAGCAAGGCTGCACTTCCGAAATCAGAGAAGCACTGGAACTGAAATCTGAACAAAACTTAAAATGTTCTCATTTGCTTCAGGAAGAAACCCCTGCCAGATTCTCAGAACCTCCCGAAGAGAAAATTTTCTTGCCAATGGGATGTCACTCAAAATCCAGGTCAGGTAAAATGCGGCCCCCCTCACGACTGCAATCCCTCATTGCTTTCCCTTCCTAACCAGTGATTTAGCGAGAAGCATCAGCATCCGAACACTCTCCTACCCCAGCCACACGTGTGTGAGCACACACACACATGAACATACATGAACACACACGTGATGCACAGATGCACACATACATGGACAGAGAGCTCACTGGTCCACGTGATGACAACGTTGATGGTGACTGCTCAATATATGATTTAATTTTTTTCAATTTCATGTTGATTTGAATTAACCAAGTCTCCCTGTCAAGGTTTCAATATTGACCTACCGCTGTCCTCCACAGAGAAGTAGAAGATGTCTTGGGTTGCATTGCTGCCCTCGTCCAAGATGTAGAAGATTCTCATCTCATTGACGTCGGCTAATAAAAGAGAAAATACCACACAAGTTATACTGGCCCATGTTGGAATTGGAATTGGAATATGTCAAAAACCTTAGTGCTTCAACAGGGTCTGGAAATACTGCAGTAAATACTTCTTCAGGCAATGACTAAGCACACATGACTCTAACTTCTTTAGGTTACAGTGGTTAAGACAGAACTTAGCTTAACTAGTGTTACTGTGTTGCTCTGTGCATGAGCTTGGGATTGCGCTCAGCCTCCTGGACATTATTGCTGTGTTTATTTACAGCACCTCTGTCCTCTACTGACCCTGTATTCATCTGGTTTCAGGGTTTCTGCACCAGCACTGAACTTGGTGTAATGATGCATGTTCACCACTCATCAAAATGAATTTAAGAATTAGTTAGCTTCATGAGAAAATAGGAATAGCATTATGTTTATTCTGTTGCCTACTCTTTTGGGTTTTTGACAATTTGACATATGAGTTTATACTGTGTCTCCATATTGATAATAATTATTGGTATTTTAATAATTTTTAAGAGATTTATTTGCATACAGAACTGGGGTACAGGTCAGTGGTGCAGGAGCGGTGAGAGGATTCCCCCAGGGACAGAGTGGGGAGCAGAAGAAGCCAATTGATAAGTACACTGCTGAGGGGAGCAGCGGGTGGGTCAGGAGAGGCCACGCCATGTGGATCACCTCCCTGGCTGGGAATTGAACTCATGCTGAAGTAGCTTTAGCTGCTTAGGGCTGTGCTTTAATCCGCTGTGCCACCAGGGAGGACCCAATTATTGGTATTTTAAAGACAACTTGCATTCTGGGGTTATTTATTTATCCAAATAATTCTCATACAACCACACACGATTTCACTTGCTTTAGAAGCCATTCTGAAATGCACTAAGCTTTTTTTTTTTTTTTAAAGATTTTTATTTATTTGTGCTTACAGAAGTGGGGTACAGGCCAGAGGCTCAGGGGTGGCGAGAGGCTTCACCAGAGACAGAGTGGGGAGCAGAACAGACAGATCGATGAAGTACACTGCTGAGGGGAGCAGTGGGCGGGTCAGGGGAGGCCTGCCACGCCATGTGGTCACCTCCAGGGCAGGCGGGAATCGAACTCATGCGGAAGTGGCTTTAGCTTCTCAGTGCTGTGCTTTATCCCGTTGCGCTACCAGGGAGGGCCGCACTAAGCTTTTTTATAAAGACCCTCCATCAGTTTTACTCTGAGGTTGCATCCGGGTTTATACATATCAGATGTGGAACACTCAGGCATCAGGCATCTCTGCACATGTCATGCATGGAGCTACAGAAATGAATTTTAGGACAATGGAAAGAGCAGTCAAAAGGCACCAGGTGTCACTTCACCTGGGAAAGCAGAGGGACCTGCTCATCATTAGTAGAGAAACAAATATAGAGGAAAGATGATCTCTCAAATATACCCCTCCAGGGCCTCCCAGGTGGCGCAGTGGGTTAAAGCACAGCACTGGGAAGCTGAAGTCACTTCAGCATGGGTTCTGTCCCTGCCCAGAGGTGAGCCACATGGCGCAGCAGACCTCTCCTGACATGCCCGCTGCTCCCCTCAGCAGTGTATTATGTCAGTCAGCCTGTTCTGCCCCTGCTCTGTCTCTGGTGAATCCTCTCACCACCCCTTCATCTCTGGCCTGTACCCCAGTTCTGTATGCACAAATAAATTAATATTTAAAACAGGCCCTCCCTGGTGGCGCAGTGGGTTAAAGCACAACACTAAGAAGCTTAAGCCACTTCTGCATGAGTTCCTTCCCCGCCCTCCCGGGGAGGAGATCCACATGGTGTGGCAGACTTCTCCTGACCCGCCCACTGCTCCCCTCAGCAGTGTACTTCCTCGATCTGCCTGTTCTGCTCCCGGCTCTGTCCCTGGTGAATCCTCTCACCCTCCTCATTTCTGGCTTGTATCCCAGTTCTGTATGAATAAATAAATAAATCTTTAATAAACAAAAAACAAAAACAAAAACAATATATCCCTCCACTCACTCAGGAAAACTCAGTTTTCTGCTTTTTTTTTTAAGATGCAGAAATTATGTCTGACCGGTGCAATAAAATATGCATTGCCTCCACTACATTCCAAATCTAAATACCAAACATCATTTTCAGAAATCTAGACTTCCCAATACACTATGCAAATGATTCCTAGAGGTGTCATACTTACTGTTCAAAATTAAACAGATGCAAAATTAATATAACCTGATCTTATGTTTCAGGCGCAGAAACTGTCCACTTGTGTTGTAAGGTACCACTACAAGTTTTATTAAATATTTGCAGATTCCCATAAATGGGGATTCTGATGAAACTGCTGAGACAGTTTCCTTCCCTTGTATTTCAGCAGCACCGGAATCTTTCCATAAACAGACTGATCAGGACAGTTTGCATATGGCTGAGCTGATGTGCTCGAGGGGGAGGAAAGAGAGGCACAGGGCCACGGGCTACTCACCTTGTGTGAACACCAGCGTGCTTTGGCTTCCAGGGCCAGTATTGATGATGACGCCGTGACCCGGTGCTCTGGTCACTTTATACTTCAGGAGCCCCTGGGGACTGTCCTGGTGCTCGGCCTTCAGAGTCTCGCTGGTAATCAGGCAGCCCATGTGTCCAGTGTTAAGGTGCTTTAAGACATGGGCCCCCTTGTTAACGGACATCTGGGGAAGCCGCTGGTCTTCTGAGCTAATGTGGATCCTCATGACCTGAGGTTCGTGCGTCTCCAGGGCAGTGTCTGGGAAGACATGGAAGCCGGCGTGGGCGCCATCTGTCACGGTCAAGGAGAAGCTGTCTTCTGTCGTCTCGCTGTTGTCATGCCAGTAGCTGATCAGGTTCTTGTTCAGGTCGTGCTGGGTGAAGGTGGTCACAGGATGGCTTCCGTTACGCAATATCCTGCCATGGGTGGGGGCTTGGGCAATGGCAAAGAGAAGGAGATCATCTGGAGTGTCCTTGTCTTTGACCGTCAACTCAAGGGGGGTGATCAGTTTGCTTCTCCCCTTTTGCAGACTGAGTTTATGGATGATCAAGAGAGGTTTCTTTCTATCTCCATCTGCAATGATGATCTTGACAGTTCGGGACACAGTGCTGTGCCCATCGGTCACTTGGAATTCAAAGCTGTCCATTTTTATCTCATCATTGGAAGTGTGGGCATAGACTATTTTGTTGCCAGCCAACGGCAGCTGAGCAGAGGTGGCCACGGGTTTCCCAGGATGCTGTGAACTCTCCAGGTGCCCCAGGTGTGGAGCCCGAGTGACGCTAAAGTAAAGCTGCTCGTCAGGGCTGTTGATGTCATGGGTGCCAAGCTGGTCTGGGGTGAGGGTCACCCTGCCACCTTTTGTCAAGGTGACCCTTTGGCTGAGCAGCACAGGAGAGTCTCGATCTAAGCTTCCGATCGTGATGTGGAAATCTTGATCTACCAAAGGGTTAACCCCATCAGTCACGTCGAATTTAATAAGGTCAGTCACTCCTGCTTGGCCCACGTGGATGTAACAGATGAGGCCTCTGTCGATCTCATCCTGGGTAAAGTTCATCCCCAGCGTGAAGTTGTTCCTCACGGCCCCACCAGCTTTTCTCAGGCGCTGCAGAAGCCCTTGTTGCGGCCCCACACGGAGGATAAAACTGAGGCTCTTATCATCAGAGTCAAGATCTGTGGCCTTGAGGACCTGATTGGTGATGACCTCAGTGTGGCCGGCCTCAACTTGCAGCCCGTCATTGATGCTCAGCAGGGGTGTTTCATCATCCACCAGGATCACCACGATGGGCACTGTCCTGTGGGCAGTGTGCTTGCCGTCGCTCAGCCAGACCTGGAAACTGTCCTCTGTGGTCTCAGAGTCGTCGTGCTCATACACGATGGTGGAGGCCTCCTGGATCTCCCGTAAGGAGAATCTGTGCACGGGCTGACTGCCGGTGGCCAGCTGCTGCAGGATCCGTCCGTGCTGGGGGAGGGCTGTGAGCTGAAAGTGCAGGTCACTTGGTGGTAAGTCGGCATCTGCTGCATCGAGCAGTGGGGTGTCAATGACCAGGCTCAGCCCCTCCAGGACCACAAACTCGTGGGCAAAAAGCACAGGCTGCTCATCATTGGTGGGTAGGATGACTATAGGGAAGAAGACATGGGGGGAGGAGTTGATGCCATCGGAGCAATACACGGTAAATTGGTCTTCCTGTGGCTCCACCCCCTTGTGGATACTCTGCACGTAATTGATGTGCCTCATGCGGATGTCTCTAAGGGAAAAGGCACTGATGGGGCTGCCAGCCTGGGACACCGCGGAGCCAGGAGCTGGCGCGATGTTTTCCAGGTAACCCGAGGTTGGCTGACTAGTCAGCACGCACAGGATTTCATCTTGGGGCGTGTCTGCGTCTTCAACGCTGAGATGCTGTAAGGTCATGGCATTCCTTCCACCTTCATCAACAACATAGGGTTCCCCCACCAAGACCTCGGGGGCCACGTTATCCACAGGCAGTACAACCACCTGTACCTGCACTCTCTCTACTATGCTGTCACCCACCACCCACTGATAAGAATTCCTGGAAAGCACAAGGCTGAAGGCATCACGCTGCTGCTGTAGACCCGGCTCAACCCCGGTGTGCGCGTAGACCACGGCCCCGCTGATGAGGTCCTCCTGGGTGAATCGTTCTGTGGGGATGCCATTCACCAGAAGGGTGCCCAGTTTGGGGGTGTCCTCCACAATGAAAGACAGCATCGAGTGCCCTGTGCCCTTCTTTTTGTCGCGGATGGTGCCCATGGTGATCTGCGTGGTTCTGTTCTCTAACACATCCACGGAAACATGTAATAATGGGCTCCCTGTAATTGAGATCCTGGGGCTTCTGTCATCCGCGGTGGCGTGCACAGCAATCTGGACAGTGATGGGGATTTGGTGCACCCCGTCACTCACCTCGAGATGCAGGGTGTCCCTGGCTGTCTGCTCTCTGTGGTGCTGGTAAGAGACACTCCCGTGGACAATATCAGCTTGCCTGAAAGAGTCCCCTGGGACCATGGTCTTTTTTAAGAACTGCAAGTGTCCATGCTGGGGACCCCAACGTAACAGGAAAACAATTTGGTCAATGTCTGTGTCAGGGTCCGAGACGGCCAGCTCGTTGCTGCTGAGGGTGAAGCTCTCTCCCTCCAGGACAGTGACGCCTCTGTTGGTGATTTCTGGGGGCTGGCTGTCCACAGGCTTCAGGAACAACGTGAATGCGCCTGGGACACTGTTGCCTGCAGCATCCTCCACCCGGTAGGTGAACTGCACAACCCGGGGTACGATACCCAGCTTCTTGGGGGGCTGGTAGGCCACTTTGAGATGATTGACCTGGACCTGGGTGAAGTGCAAAATGGGCGTGTCTGGTGAATCGGTGAACACAATTTCTCCAGCGTGGACTTGGCAGCTGCCGTCGGTGTCAGTTGGGGGTGTCAGGAGGGTGTAGCGGAGGCTCTGGTTGTCCGAGTCCTGGTCCGTGTATTGGAGGGAGTCCTTCTGGAAGGGAGTGAGCTGGTACTGGTGCACGGTCATTTCTAGGGTAGTTCCTGGAAACAGCTCTGGACTCTGCAGATCCAGGGGTTGGACCTTGATGGGGAAAAAGTGCTGGCGGGATAGATTAGGTGGGTCATGGTCATCCTGCACCCGGAAAGTCAGCTGGGCCGTTCTAGACTCTGGGCTGTGGGGCCCAAGATGGCGGAAGAAGAGTCTCCCTCTTATTATGTCTTGCTGGAGCCACTCAGTCACTACTTTCTCGTAAAGTCCTTCTCTTTCCACATAGTCCCAGTCCCCGGGGGACAGCGGCGGCTCCGCCTGCCTCAGCAGCATCTCCCCCGGAGGCTGCCGGGAGTGGGTGGAGCCGGGGGCCAGCGGCCACCCCTCTTCTTCCTGTGTCGCCTCTGAGGGCTGGTCCTCCAGCACAAAGCGGATGGTGGAGTCCTCGGAGTCAACGTCTGTGGCGCTCAGCACAAAGGGGGTGATCCTGACCAACTGCCCTTCTGTCAGCGAGAGCCCGGCGTTGGCATCCACGATGGGTGGCTCATCGTCCACAGGTATGATGCTGAGCGGGAAGAGGAATTCCACCTGGTGGCGCCCATCGTCCATCCTGAAGAGGATGTTGTCGCTGGAGGTGTCGCTGCCGTCGTGGCGGTACACGACTCGGCCTGCGGCCAGGTCTGCAGGGGTGAAGTGTTTGCACCCCTCGGGCGCTCCGAGCACCGCCAGCTGTCCGTGCCTCAAGCCGCCGACCACGGTCACTTCCACCTCCTCCAGGTTATCTCCGTCACTGATCTGGAGGCCGCCTTGGCTGGACAGCGGCCTCGACTGACCTTCAAAGAGCAGCAGTCCTCCCACGTAGGTGGCTCGGGGGGCTGTGGCGTCCAGGGCCTTCACCACCACCACGAAGGCAAAGGGGGCAGAGGTGGCCCCGTCGCCGTCCACCACCTGCAGGTCCAGCTGGAAGAGGCGCTCCTCATCCAGTTTCTCTGTCGGGGGCTGAAAGGCGATTTTCAGCTCCTGCAGCTCCCGCTGGGTGAAGGAGGAGACTGGACGGCCCAGGGGGTCGTCCGTGCTGACCAGGCAGCCCTGGCCACCCAGGTGCTCGGATGTGCCTGTGGGGGCGCTGAGAAGGTGGAAGACCAGGTCTTCAGGGCCCGACTCCAGGTCCTCCGCCGCCAGAGCTTCAGACGTCAGGGCAGTCAGCTGGAACTGGTCGACCTCCATCATCATCTGGGCCTCCGCGCATGGCCTCGGCGCTGTGTTCTGAGATCCCTGGCGGATCCTCACCTGCAGCTGAAAGTGCTCGCGGAGCAGCGCCTCCGTGGGCCCTGCGCCTTGGTCCAGCGGGCCCAGCAGCTCGGCCACCAAGGGCACGTAGTCCCGGTCAGGGGAGGGGGTGGCTGCAGTGTGCTGGTAGCGCACCCCAGCCCGGATGAAAGCCTGGCAGTCTATGCTCTGGCCTCTGGGGAGAGGGGCTCCCGCGGCGTCCACCAGATGCCCGTACTTGGGCAGTGGGCCGCCCTCGGGCGGCAGAGGCGTGAGCCGGCACCTGTGAGCCTCGGCCCAGGACTCCGGCGCTGCGAAGTCCAGCACTCTGCTGTCGATGGCGGGGCTCCAGCCCCGCAGCCTCTCCACCGCCAGAGGCCTGTTGCGCGTCACCAGCTCGGGCTGGGAGAAGACCACGTCCACAGCCAGCGTGAAGGGCAGCGCCAGCGTGTAAGTCGGGGCGTCGTAGCGCAGCTGCAGCCGCACCCGGGCGCGCCCGGGGCCGCGGGAGCCGAAGTGAGTGTACTGGACCTGCCGGGGCCCGAAGGCGCAGGGGAAGCGGCGCGGGGAGAGCGCGCCCAGGCGCAGCGGCCGGGCGTCCCGCACCGTCACCTCGCAGCGGTCCCCCGGCCGCACTCGAATCACCAGGTCGCGGAGCGGGTCGAGCCAGAGCGAGCGGCCGGCCGGCACCCGGAGCCCGGGGTTGGCGATCAGCACGCTGGGGCCGTCGAGGCTGCCGCCGCCGAGTGCCCCCGGGGCGGGCAGGTAGAGTGCCCGCGGGGGCTCGGTCCCGGGCGAGGGCAGCTGTCCCTGCAGCCCCGGGCAGCTCAGGAGCAGGCAGGCGAGCGCCGTGACCAGTGCCCGGGGCGTCCCCGCGCGGCGCCCACAAGTCCCAGCCATGGGACCTCGGCGCTGGGCTGCCCAAAGGGTACCGGGTCCACAGAGGGCCCTCTCAGCCGCAGGTGCAGGCGGTGGCGGGTGTCCAGCGGGAGCCGCTGCTCGGACTCAGCTGGCGCCGGTGGCTGCGCTTCAGCTGCGGCAGGTGCGGCGGTGGGGGAAGGGGTCCGCCTACCTCTGCCCCGCCCCTGCCCCGGCTCCCCTCGGCTGGCACCGGGGGCCCGGCAGATCCGCCCCAGCACCCCTAAACCCAGCCAGGGTGCCGGAGTTCCCGCCTCCCGCTCCGCGGTGCCGCCCCCTCACCCCGTTGTCTTACTGACCTTCCCGCCGCGAGGACTGCCTGCCTCGGACCCACCGGTCTGGACACTCTGCTCCTCGGGAGACGCCGAGGGACTGTGCTCAGGACAGGGAGCCCGACAGTGACCGTCCCCAGGTCAGCCCTGCGTGCACCCCGCGGCCGCCTCCCAGGCAGTGGGGTTTCGGATGTTACAGAGACACCATCCCTCTGCCTTCCCGCTGACCGGAGTACATTTTCCAGCTAAAATCGAGTCTCACTTTGGACAGAAAGGAGGCTGGTGGGAGCTCTCTTGCAAATAGGATTTTCTAGCTGTCTGTCTGATGAAGCAGCTTATTCCGAGTATTCTAATTCGGTGTCTCCAAAATCACCGGCATTTCTCTTCTGCTCAGTTTTAGGGGAAGGCATTAGCATCCCGGCTGGCGAAGTTGAATAGCTTTTAATCTATTTCTTGCCGTGGGTCTGGCAGAACAGTGCAGGTTCGCCTCCTTCCATTTTCTTGGAATGTGGTTTCCATATCTGAGCCACAGTGATTCCCGTGAATTCACTAGACATGGTGTTCCCTAATTGCTCTCTTTATAGAAAAATAGATAGTGGGGGGCGGGGGATGCCGGCAGAAACAGGAGCAGAGAAATACTTACTACAGAGACTTGAATCAATTTCTGTGAATCAATCTATTTAACACTTGCACTCAGACTCCTCATGGCTTTCCGAAGACGAAATGCCTTTCCTGAAACACAGTGGTAGGAACTCAGTCACTTGTGCAACTCTTAAATATTAGGGCTGTCTGATTAGCCACAGTGCAGAGTGAGCTTTACTTATATATAAAACAGTAGTAATGTGCCTTCTTTTGCAATTAATATGAATGTGAGAGGAACTTGTTGATAGTAAAAACAGATGCATCCCAAACTGGGTTGGTAAAAAGGACTTCTTGGGGGAATATTAATGTATAAATATCATCGTAGTTAGCCTCATGGTGTGTGCAATGGTACAGATGCCGGTTTTATCCAGCCATTTATTCAGCAGCAACATGACTTTAGAGGAGCACTAATCTATAAATGGCTTGAAAGAGTTAATTTTCTCCCTAAATATTTAATTCAATCAGCCAGTGAAATGCTGTGGTTCTATATAACCCACGAAAGTGGAATGTGAGCACACCTCATTAGCAGGCAGATTTGTTCACATAACAGAATATTAAGAGATAGTACATTGGAAGCAATATACGTTTAGCTTAATTATGCCAAGCTAGTTCAGTGTGTCTGGAAAATATTATTTAAAAATTGTATTTTTAGTTGAATCACAGGTATAATTCCATTGTAAATGGAAGAGGCATTATATTCAAACAACTAGTGCTTTATCCCAGGGATGATTTTTTTAATAATAGGACTTTTATCAGTCTGCATATAATAAATTTTTCTCAAGTCAATTTTCCTGTATGAGTACAATTCTGGCTCCTCCACAGATCTCACTCGCTGCAGGTGACTGTCTTGTCCATGTATTATATTATCAGAGTCAGAGGTCGGGTGTAGATGAGAGAACAGAAAGCTGAAGCACTGCCTGTTTCTGCGTTTGTTCCCTGGCCTGCCTCCTTCAGCTAACATTCCCTTTCTTCTTTTTTACTACAGATGTCTTGAAAATGCTTTTTCCATCCCCTTTATTGCCTTCATTTCTTACTTTTCCACTCACATGCTCTTAGGGCACTTGTTTGGCTTCCACTTTATTTTATTTTAAAAAAATTTATTTATGCATGCATACAAGAACCGGGGTACAGGCCAGAGGTACAGGGGGTAAGAAGCCTTCACCAGAGACAGAGTGGGGAGCAGAACAGGCAGATCTACGAAGTACACTGCTGAGGGGAGCAGCAGGTGTGTCGGAAGAGGTCTGCTGCACCCTGTGGGTCACCTCCCCAGCTGGGAATCAAACTCTTGCTGCAGTGGCTGTGGAGAGCTTTGTAGCGCTGTGCTGGAATCCATTGCGCCACCAGGGAGGGCCCCTGGCTTCCACTCTAAATGCATGAACACGTGAAGGTCTTTAGTAACCTCAACTTGTCTGTCTGTCCATTTGCCCCCTCCTTGCTTCTGATTTTCTGCCTTCAAATCCCACTTCTTCCTATGCTCCCCAAGCCATCTTCCTTGACCACTCTTGGAAACGTTCAAGGTCAGCTTGATTTAGTGTCTGTCTTTCCTCTTTCCTCATAAGCTCCGTGAGCACAAGGAGTGTGTGATGCCCACCACTGACACTTGCAGCGTATGGGTGGCTATCTGAGGGTTGGCAGGGACCGGTGCAGCAGAGCTGTGTGAAAGAATGAATGAGAGCATGAAGCCCATGAGAAGTAGCAATTGCAGCTTCTCCAACAACATCATTTCATTCCGATGTTGATAAAGAACAAGCAAGGCATCCTGGACGATGTACTTTCTTCTATGTTGTTTTGCCTAAAGTTGCAGTTTCCGAGGTCTGTTCAATGACATGCAGTGAGGGCTGTGACTCGGTGCCTGCCTTCCACACACTGCCCCTTCGTTCTGCTTAGAGAATACAAATTCAATTTCTAACCAAATATTTATTTTATCAATAGTGTTTTCCTTCCACAGGGCAATTTCACTTGTCAGTATTGTTTTTTGTTTTATCTCCTGCCATCCCAGAGCTGTCTTTGAACCTGAGCTGCGTTTCAAGCCTACTATTAAGTGGGCAGGAGAGGTGCTCAGACCTGTGCTGTGCTCCTTATCTTTTGATCCTGGCAAAACCCTGCCAGGTGGTTCTGTGTCTTATTTTTAATGTGTATGTGATAAGAGAGCCCACCTCACACAGCTTTGCTAAGAATTAAATGGAGTACTGTACAGAAAAGGTTTTGAATAAGCATTCAATGACTTTAAGTGTCGATTATGATTATAGATGGGAAATTGAGATTTATAAGACTTAAGTAGAAAATTTTTACCTTGTAAATGAATTCCACTCTCACAAAAAGTGTGTCCTCCAGGGAAGGAATTCTCGTGTGCCCCATCATTCCCGGGAGATTTCCGTCACGCCCCATTCTATAAATAATTGTCTCTGCTCTCAAGAGCACAACGGCATTTAATAGTCACAGAAAAGAGACTAGAGTCCAAGTATTCTGCATGTGTCTTGCAGGCAGGAAATCCCTGTTCAGAAACGACACATTCAGCTTCCAGGAGATTTGACTGAGAACAGAGAGGGAAAGTTCCTGACTTGGGAATTTGCTCTGCTCCAGGACCAACTATTCAGTCTGACCTTGCTGAAATTATGTCTTCTCTACCAGCTGGAGAAATAAAAGGTCCAAATCCCTAAATATCACAAGACAAATACCTTGACTCAGATCACTTGCTGATGTTTAACCTCAACATACTGCAGTCAAGTCTACTTGGCCTTGACTCTTTGTTTATCTCCCACCATTCATTACTTGAATTGGCCTCGGCCCTCAATGGATCCATAGACATCAAGGAACAAGTTCTAGGGAAGCTGTGAGTTTAAAATAAACTCCCTTCTCCACTAGCTATTTAACTAGCATTCGTTGGCCAGGCAGGTTATTGGCCATCATTCCAGGCCTGGACCACAGAAACTTGGCCTGGGCATACTCCTGACTGTGGCTGAGTGGGCACGTGCCTGGGATGTGCCATGTCCCCTGGCCCCCTCCCAGTACAAGAATGCAGGGACTGAGTTCTAGCTTAGTGACTGTGCCTTAGGACGTGGCATCTGGACACAGAGAAGTGGACATGGCTGTGTCTCAATAAAACTTTATTGAGACAAGCTCTTAGCTAACATCTGGAAGAAAGCAGGTGGCCCAGGTGGCTCACAGACACTTGGTCCCCAGCTCTCGGGCCCCCCCTGTACAGGCATTGCTGCTCAGGGAGAAGAGCATCTGGATCTCCATGGTGGGAGGATGGGTACCTGGGTCTCTGTCCATCCACACACTACAGGGTGTTAGAGCCGGCGCCACCTGGCGGTCTAGAGGGCATCACACTCACTGGCAGAAAACACATAGCTCCTGTCAAAAGAGATGGCGCTGCTCTGTGAAATAGCCAGAAGGAAAATACCAATGGTTTCACTCATAGGAGGAATGCATGGCATCCAAATAAAGGATCAGGTGAAAAAGAAAAAGATAATTATAGTAAAGTAAAACCCAGAAGCAACAGGCACCTATAAATCAGAGACACTGCAGGGAGGGAGAGCGGGTGTAGGCTCCAAACAGGGTGGGAAGAGCACAGGGGACCATGGTGATGTGCAGGGCGAATTGGTGCTGGAATGTCACGGGATTGCACCCAAGATGATAAAGCACACATCGCATACAAATGAAGAATGATGCAAAAATACGTAAAATAACAATAAAAAAGAGACGGGGCTATGTGTGATAACTGTGAAACCTCCCCAACCAATACCCTGGTCTTTCTTTTCATGTAAATGCTGCCCTGCCATGAGAGCATTTGGTGCTGGCTGGTGTGGGGAAGGGTGGGAGAAGGGGGTTAGAACGTTTGCCTGCTCTGCCAAGCTCTCAGCTGAAATCTGGAAGAGAGCAGGCGGCCCAGGCACTTTGTCCCCAGCTCTTGGGGCCCCTGTTCAGGCATCGCTCTCAGGGAGAAGGCAGGCAGGAGCAGGGGACCAAGAGCTGATTCAGTCCTCATTCTTGGGTGAAAACAAGCTTTGGGAGGACAAAAGGGACACTCCACACAAAGGGGGCGTGTTGCGCATCTTACTTCAA